TATTTTAATAAAATTTTGTATAAGTACTTAATGAAACATAATAAGTAAATGATAAAAATTTCAAAATGATTGCACTGCTTTAAAGCCTTTGACCTTTAATAATGTGTGGATGCACCCTGATGTGCTACGCATTCTCCAACGCGCCTAGGCATGCTTCTGATCAGGTGGTCAATGTCCTCCTGTGGTATCTCATTCCAGGCAACCACCAACTCCTCTCGAAATGGTTCTAGAGTCTGAGGAGGACGTTGCAAATTGAGCAATCTCCTACCCATCATATCCCACACGTGCTCAATTGGGGATAAGTCGGGAGATCTTGGTGGCCATGGTAATAATGTGACATCATTATGTTGAAAGAAGTCTATTGTGACTCTTGCAACAGGTGGTCGGGCATTATCTTGTTGGAAAGTTGGATCTGCCAGGGTGTCAAGATAGGGTAAAAGATGGGGTTCTAGAACTTCGTGGATATAACGCTGCGCGTTCATGTTACCTCTGATGAAGATTAAAGGTGACCTGGAACCATAAGCTATAGCACCCCAAACCATAACTCCAACAGTGTGATGAACATGTCTTTCAACAAAAAACTGTGGATTCCTCCTTTCACCTCGTCGCCTTCTAATCCTGGCACGACCATCGTGCATGCCTAAACAAAATCGAGACTCGTCACTAAAGACAATACTGTTCCATTCCTGATCCCAGAGTGACCGTTGTCTGCACCACTCAAGGCGATTACGTCGGTGTTCTCGAGTTAAAGGGAGGACCCAGTGTGGCCGGTATGAAAACAAGCCAAAACTTCTCATTCGTCGGTAAACACTTCGCATGCCAATAGGTCTTCCGTGTTCTGCAAATGCAAACCATTAATTTGCAATGGACCTGGTAGTGGAGAAACGGTCCCTTAAGGCCAATAATCTTAGGCGGCGATCTTCACGGTCTGTTGTTCTACGGCGGCGTCCAGTGCCCCTTGCTCTTTGCGTACGGCCTTCTCGAAGCCATGCCTGACAACACCTAACCACAGTCTCTACACTTCTTTGCACTCTAACTGCAATTGCCCGAAAAGAAAGTCCAGCTTCCCGAAGTCCCACTATACGGCCCCTATCAAACTCACTAAGTTGACGAAATCGTACAGGTCTCCGTACTCTAGGCATCGTAACCGATCGTAAAGGATGTCAAGAACCAAAATCCGCCAACGTTGATTCTTTACTGCGGCTGAAATATTCATTTTTAGAGCGTTAGTGAATTAAAAAAAAGCAGTATAAAAACCGGAATGTCCAACTGATAAGGCTGAAAATTTTTTCACTTGTTATTTACAGTAAGATAAATACATTCATCAACTTTTATTAAAATAAAACCATTTAAACTGGGTGTTCGGATTTATATGTCACTTAGTACATATATATAAAAATGGCTATTTTTAACAATTTTGAAATATATAATTTTTTGCATAAATTCTTAAAGCTTAAATCTTCAAGAAACCATTTCACTTTTTTAAAATGTTCTAAGGACCATGTCTTGCACCAGAACAGTTGTTTAAAGCATTTGTCTCTGGGATAGACAATTAGCTTTTTACATAAACTATTAAACCGATCCAGCTGAAATTTAGAACACATATTAACACCAATGATGTCCTCATTCTCACAAATGAATTTTGAGCTTTCCCCACAGTTTATAAAAAAACAACGCATATCTGGCTTTACGTATTTATCATTAAAACATTCAGATATCTGCTAAAAATGTTTTTACACGAAATACCTATTTTTTTTCTCTGAAGCCTGGGCTATTTGTTCCTTAAAAGATATTACTCGTTTCAGACTAGAAACGAAATAAAAATCGTGTTAATCAGGATCTACTTATGGCTAATTAATAGGGTAAACTTTGGTACAAGATCAGCACGAGTTAACTTGAAACAAAAATACAGTCTTATAAAAATAATACTCTTTTCAGACTAAACGCGAAAAATGAGCATCTAGTTATGGCTGATTAATAATTATACTAAGTGACATCTAAATCCGAACACCCAGTTTAAATGGTTTTATTTTAATAAAAGTTGGTGAATGTATTTATCTTACTGTAAATAACAAGTGAAAAAATGTTCAGCCTTATCAGTTGGACATTCCGGTTTTTATACTGCTTTTTTCTTAATTCACTAACGCTCTAAAAATAAATATTTCAGCCGCAGTAAAGAATCAACGTTGGCGGATTTTGGTTCTTGACATCCTTTACGATCGGTTACGATGCCTAGAGTACGGAGACCTGTACGATTTCGTCACCTTAGTGAGTTTGATAGGGGCCGTATAGTGGGACTTCGGGAAGCTGGACTTTCTTTTCGGGCAATTGCAGTTAGAGTGCAAAGAAGTGTAGACACTGTGGTAAGGTGTTGTCAGGCATGGCTTCGAGAAGGCCGTACGCAAAGAGCAAGGGGCACTGGACGCCGCCGTAGAACAACAGACTGTGAAGATCGCCGCCTAAGATTATTGGCCCTTAAGGGACCGTTTCTCCACTACCAGGTCCATTGCAAATGAATGGTTTGCAGAACACGGAAGACCTATTGGCATGCGAAGTGTTTACCGACGAATGAGAAGTTTTGGCTTGTTTTCATACCGGCCACACTGGGTCCTCCCTTTAACTCGAGAACACCGACGTAATCGCCTTGAGTGGTGCAGACAACGGTCACTCTGGGATCAGGAATGGACCAGTATTGTTTAGGCATGCACGATAGTCGTGCCAGGGTTAGAAGGCGACGTGGTGAAAGGAGGAATCCACAGTTTTTTGTTGAAAGACATGTTCATCACACTGTTGGAGTTATGGTTTGGCGTGCTATAACTTATGGTTCCAGGTCACCTTTAATCTTGATCAGAGGTAACATGAACGAGCAGCGTTATATCCACGAAGTTCTAGAACCCCATCTTTTACCCTATCTTGACACCCTGGCAGATCCAACTTTCCAACAAGATAATGCCCGACCACATGTTGCAAGAGTCACAATAGACTTCTTTCAACATAATGATGTCACATTGTTACCATGGCCACCAAGATCTCCCGACTTATCCCCAATTGAGCACGTGTGGGATATGATGGGTAGGAGATTGCTCAATTTGCAACGTCCTCCTCAGACTCTAGAAGCACTTCGAGAGGAGTTCGTGGTTGCCTGGAATGAGATACCACAGGAGGACATTGACCACCTGATCAGAAGCATGCCTAGGCGCGTTGGAGAATGCGTAGCACATCAGGGTGCATCCACACATTATTAAAGGTCAAAGGGCTTTAAAGCAGTGCAATCATTTTGAAATTTTTATCATTTACTTATTATGCTTCATTAAGTACTTATACAAAGTTTTATTAAAATAAAACCATTTAAACTGGGTGTTCGGATTTATATGTCACTTAGTATACTTGGAAGCCAAGCGTTACGTGTAGCAACTCTAGTATGTGTTCCAAATCCGGAAGCCTCACTGGACACGAGACAAGACGCAAAACTCCGTGACATTCCCGGATTTCCCGGCCATCTGGCAAGCCTAGTACAGGGGCATTTTGAGATCTTTGAGATGTGTCTATCATTACTTTACAATGCAGTTTCTATTAGGGAAATATTCTCACGGTTCTTCCGATAATCCCGTATACAGGGTGTTCCTTAATGATATGCGAATATTTAATGAAAAATTAATGTTAGTTTGCTTTATAAACCATGATCCAAAAATGTTACCTTACAAAAACTCGGGGTGTCAAATTTTAGGAAAAAAATGGAAATTAATTAATATTTTCAGAACCGCTTCAGATATTTTACTGATATTTAGTAGGTAGTGAAAGCTGTGTTTATGTTTTGCTAATGTGTTTAATTTTTCCAATTAAATTAATAATAAGTTAGACAATAGAACGGTTTTTATTTTTTTTTACTCAAAAATGGCGCATCAAAGAAAAGCAACTCAAGAGAGATCATTTGTTTTAAATTGAACGGGGAAATCAAAAATAATTTTTATTTGCCTAAAAACCATTATCGTATCTACCATTTTTTTCTCAAAAAATATCGAAGTCAATACCCGTACGCACGCCACTGTTAAACCTAAGAATTATTTTTGCATTGAAAAATATGTAACTTTAATAACTTTCACTACGTACTAAATATCAGTGAAATATCTGAAGCGGTTCTGAAAATATTAATTTCCATTTTTTTGTAAGGAAACATTTTTGGACCATACTTTATAAAGCAAACACGGAAGGAAACATTAAGGAACACAATGTATAAATAGTTATAAGGGTTAAGTGGAAGAAGAGATGTGTGTCACATCAGTAGTGCACATCTGAACTTCGCTCTCCGACTAACTGCCTTTTTTAATATAACTAACAACTTTATTTGTTGATGTTTGCCGAATACAGACGTTTTATTATTATAATATATGATTATTATTTTGAAATGCAAAGGCAATCATCTAAAACCTGAGAGACGCCATAAATAAATGAAGAAACTCACCCTCGGAAAAACTGTTAAAATCCGGCGTGTAAAACGCTACAGAATGCATACTCGAACCGGCTGGTCGCAGTGTGCACAAAACACAGGGAAGTAGTACCAATCACGCAAATGTATCAGCAGCGCAGCTGTACTCGAAAACAACAGAACGCTAGGTGCTCGCTTGAGCTTAATCGTAGCAGGCGGTACGGCGAAAACAAACGAGCAACGCCGCGCCGCCACCGCGCTGGTGATGCTGTGTTGTGGAGGCGGCGGCGTGGAAGGGGACACGGATCAAGATGACTTACGCGGAGAGGCGGGAAAATAATACAAGGTGTATGTACCATTACCAATTACCATTTGAGTTCTAACAAGTACATTTTTAAGAAAAATGGCTACGAGTAGATTGACTCGATACTTCCTACGCGTTCGTTGAAGGTTTGAAAGGAAGGGATGAGTTGTTTTTTAGATTTTAAATTTGATGTTATAGTGCTAACTGATATATTTAAAGTATATGATACAAGTTTGATTCAAATTCCCAATTATGATTTATATTATAACGATGGTACGAGGGATGTCTTTTAAGTTTTGCATATAGAAACAAAGTAGGCCGCGCGGATCGAACATCAGTACTGAATCTTAACCTCACTCTTTAGTAAACTTAAATTCGAAGTTTCACAACAATACGTGCAGTGTTCTCACTACATTTTCCGCCATAATTTATTACAACTTTCAGAGACAATTATCACAATAAGAATGCTTTGCTGAGTTACTGTCTGTTTTCGGCAACGAAGCGCCACATCAGTCGACAATTTCCCGTTGGTATGGATAATTCAAACGTGGACGGGTGAGTCTTAGCGACAATCCCAGGTGGGTGCACCAAAAACGGCAGTCACCCAGGAAAACGTCGATGCTGTGCGCATCATCATTGAAGATAGACATGTGACATATCGAGAGATTGAGGCATCCTTGAAGATCTCAAAGACCTCAATTCAAAAATTTTTACAAAAAGAATTAGGAGTAAGAAAATTAGTTTCTCGTTGGACCTGATGACTGAAGAGCAGAAAGCAGCCAGGGTTAATTGGTATCAAAAAACGTTTCAATTCCGGAAACTAAAAAAATGTGTACAGCATTGTTAGTGGTGATGAATCGTGGACTTACTGTTATGAACCAGAAAATAAACGACAGTCGGCTGTTTGGGTGTTCCGAGGTGAAGAAAAGCCAACAAAAGTCATCCGGTCTCGAAGTGTTTCGAAAAAGATGGTCGCGACATTTGTATCAAAAGCGGGTCATATTGCAACAATTCCTCTTAATGAGCAAAGAACTGTTACTGCGGATTGGTATACCACCATTTGTTCGCCGAAAGTCATCACCGAGCTTCGAAAAATCAACCCCGAAAGAAGAATCATCCTCCACCAAGACAATGCAAGCTCGCACACAGCCCAAACAACAAGGCAGTATTCAACAGAAGAAAACGTGGAATTATTGGACCATCCTCCATATAGTCCCGATCTAAGTCCTAACGATTTCTTTACTCTCCCGAAAATTAAAAACAGACTGCGTGGTCAAAGGTTCCAGTCACCTGAAGAAGCAGTTGACGCATTCAAAAATGCCGTTTTGGATCTGCCAGCAAACGAGTGGAATAAGTGCTTCGAAAATTGGTTCGAGCGCATGCAGATGTGTATTAATCTTGGTGGAGAATACTTTGAAAAACAATAAGTCATTTAAAACTACCTACCGTGTTGTTTTATTTCCATATGCAAAACTTAAAAAACATCCCTCGTAGTTTTAATAAAAATGAGGGGGTTCTGATTTGCGTAAGACAAAATTTGAACAGTGGGTATGAAATTATTAATATAATTCAAACAAAAATTTTGCGAGTTATTCTTCATAAGAAAAACAAATGGATACAGATCACTGGTGTGTACAAATCACCCTCTATATCTGTAACATCATTTAACAGTGAATTACATGATTATCTAGAGAGCAGTAGAAAATTTGACATCAACTTATTCATTGGTGACCTTAACATTAACATATTAACATCAGTAGTTCCTCAGGGTTCTGTTTTAGGACCGCTGTTATTCATTATACAGGGTGGCGCATCGAAAACGAAACAGACGCATTTACTGGCGGCTCAGTTCTTTTTTGGAAAAACGCTCAAACCCGTCGATTTTAGTTTTCGAGGGGGACACAAGTTTGGCAAAAAATCACGTTAACACGTGCAGCCCCCTGGGCGGCGGTGACACCAACCGTAAAATCTTAAATGGAAAGGGGGGTCGAGTGATACCTCATTTTAAAGCTCTTTTAATTCCCTTCATAATGATGTAAAATACATGACCTTCAGTTCAGTAGTTTTGAAGATTTATTGATTTAAAGCTTAAAGTAGACTTTAATAGGTACATCGGATTAGTTTGTACTACTTTCAGAAGAAATTTGACTAAAAGAATTTACTTAATCAGTAAATGCTTTTCTTCGCTACGCCCATGGTTTGTTTATCATTTTGTTGTTGAAAATATGTATTGGAGCGTTTTTTGTGGCAAAAAAGTTATTTCTTGAATAAAGATAAGGAAATATCTCTTATTTATCTTAAATAGGAATTTAATAAATAGTTTTCAATTGATTTGACCAAACTTTGTTACTAAAATAACTTGTAACGATTTATTACATAAATTAACCATGGTATATTCCACAGCAGAAAGAGTTGAAATTATCGAAATATTTTTCGGAAATAATCAGTGCGCTAATAGAACAGCAGAAATATTTAATGAACGACATGAGAACAGTAACGTGCATCGAAAATATGTTGTAGAATTCGTAACTAAATTTCGGGAAACTGGGTCAGTCGCCAATAAAAAACGCAACATTGATAATCCCATAAGGAACGAAGCAATAGAAATGGGGGTTTTAGGCATAGTTTATGTAGATCCTACGTTAAGTACCCGCAAATTGGAGACTGTGTGTGGTGTTAGTCAACGTACTGTCCAACGGATTCTAAAGGCCCATAGTTTTCATCCGTATAAAATTCACCTGGTACAAGTACTTAATGCAGACGATTTTGATCGGCGATTACAATTTTGTGAAGATAAGAGTGAACGAATTATAAACGATGAACATTTTCTATTCAACACTTGCTTTTCCGACGAATGTTCCTTTTTGTTAAATGGCGTAGTAAATCGTCATAGCTGCCGATACTGGTCCGATTCCAATCCCCGAATTTACCATGAGGTTCATACACGGCAGCCACAAAAATTAAATGTTTAGGCTGGTATTTTTAGCGATCATTTAGTTGGTCCTTTTTTCTTACCTGGAAATTTGACCGGTGAAATGTATTTGGAATTACTGGAAGACGCCATAGATCCTGCATTAACAGCCATAATTGAAAATCAGAATGACCCGCGGTACATTGCGAATAGGTTAAGGATGGTGCCCCACCACATTACGCATTACGTGTTCGATAATATTTAGATCAGACTTTTCCAGATCGATGGATTGGTAGAAAAGGTGCCATTGAATGGCCCCCAAGACATACAATCGTTTACTGTATATGTAAAATGCCATATTTGTATGTCAAATTAGCCATAAGCTTTAGCCTTTAGAAAGGTTGAGTGTAAGAATAGCTGTGCTAAACTCCGCCAATAAAGCCGTTTATTATTATTATTTGCATTATTATTATATTTGATCAAAACAATCAAAATATTCAAGATTATTTAAATATGTCTGAACATGATTACCTGTCAGCTATTAACGAAATGACAAGAGTAGCGGGAAACAGTGGGAGCTGTATAGATCATATGTTTATAAATTCAGGTATAGAGCTTGACAAAATATATTCAGCAATTCTAAAATACAAAATTTTTGATCATTTTCCTACTTCGAATACACTGAATAATACAAAAATTTATATTGATTATGAAAAACTGAACAAGAACTTACTGAATGAAAATTGGATTGCAGTATATAACGAACCTAATATCGAAAATGCATTTGTCCTTTTTATATCTAGCATTGAAGGCTATATTGCTGACAACACAAATAAAAAGACAAGCATGGATATCAAAAGGGATTATTACCTCCATCAACAAAAAATAGAATTATATAAGGAAACCAAAAAATATCCTTATGATGTGAATCTTTTGAATGAATTGAATGAATTTAAATCATATCGAAACAGACTGACAAAAATAATTAAAGAGGCTAAAATTAAATATCTCCAAGAAGAGTTTGATAATCTACAAAATTGTTCGTCCAAAATCTGGCAATTTATCAATAAAATACAAGGCAAAAAACAAAACAACAAAATTAGTACAATTAAAAAAGAAAATGGTGAACTTGTGAGTAATGATATGAATAATAATAGCAAATGAATTTTGTGAATATTTTTTAAAAATCGGGAAAAGGTTGTCAGAAAACATAAAAAACGCGGAAAAATTAAAATATAGTAAGACCAGATTATATAACTCATTATATCTGAAACCGACCGATAATATAACAGCATATGCTCTCAAGAGGATAAATTCCAACATCTGCGGCATACTGTCATATTTGATAAATTCTTGTATGAATAAAGGAATATTCCCTACATGTTTAAAATACGCTATGGTAAAACCATTATTTAAATCTGGAGAAAGAGAAAAACCCATCAACTATCGACCAATTTCCATCTTAACCAATTTTTCTAAAATATTTGAAGGAGTGTTAAAAAAACGATTGACCGAATTTGCAAAAAATATAACTTAATAGCGGAACAGCAATATGGTTTTTAATAATTCAAATCTACTCAAGATGCTATTGTAAAATTAACAAGTAAAATATACGCGAATCTCGATATTGGCAAACCAACTGCATGTGTTTTCGTTGACTTGGCAAAGGCATTCGACTCTATTACTCATGAACCGTACGATATAGTATCGTACGGTGTACCTCAAGGTTCAGTGTTAGGACCCATTTAATTCAATCTATTTATCAACGATTTGTTCAAAATAATTAGTACAGGTAAAGTTATCGGTTTTGCGGATTATACAGCTATTCTCTATGAAAGTAACCAGTGGCATCCACTAAAAACCACAATCGAAAATGATTTCAAAACATTTATAAATTTCTTTTCGGAAAGAACTATGACAATTAATTACAACAAAACACACTATACAGGGTTATCCAAATTAAGTGTCCACCATTAGTAACTTTGTTATTAGTGAAAATACAAAGTTATTTGAATTAGCAAACTAGTAGCATTTTTAACGCTGGTAAAAATGAGAAATAAAAAAAAACAATTGAGAGTCGTTATTTTGATTTTTTTTCAGTAAAATAACATTTTTTTAAATGGAAACCCCTGTATATTATATTTTTTTCTGTTAAAGCATCAAATTTTAAACAAAAAAGCTTACAATAACTTTTCTCCTAGGTTACAAATTGTTGAAGTTATGGCCTCCAATCTGAAGCAATTAAATTGTATCGACAAACTTTATTTTCAACATCAACTTATAATCTTACAAAATACAATAACAATTTTTTTTAAAGAAGATGCTCGAAAACACCACCTTGTTCTTCAATACATTTTTGGGCACGTTTTTCAACTGCTCGAACTGTCTTAAGTATGGTCCTACCATCTATCTGGGTTATCTTTTCCCTAACTGCAGTCTTTAACGCGTCAAGGTTATCGTACCTTCGCTTGTAAATTTGGTTCTTTAAGTAACCCCACAAGAAGTAATCAAGTGGGTTTAGATCTGGTGATCTGGGAGGCCACTGTATTGGGCCATTTGTTCCTATCCACTGATCATTAAAAGTAGTACTTAGAAAATGATAAGTACCTCTGGAGTTGTGGGCAGGTGCGCCATCTTGCTGAAAATGCAGATGATGTCTACTTATAAGATCCAATTCGTCTAAGAAATTAGTCAGAATTTCTGACATAAATTCCACATATCTTTCACCAGTTAGGGTTCCCTCATAAAAGAACGGGCCAACAATTTTTGAACCAATTATACCGTACCAAACGTTGAAACTGAAACGGACTTGTGGGCCTCTTGGATGTACTAACAAAAGATTTTCTCTTGACCAATAATGGTGGTTTTTTCTATTAAACATTCCAGAATTTGAAAAATTTGATTCATCTGTCCATAAAAGGTAACAAAAGTTATTTACATTTTGGCGACAGAAGCTAAGATACCAATGGCAAAAAACAAGTCTTCTCTCTGGATCCCCTGCCAAAAGCGTTTAAACTGGTCGGTACTTATACGGAATAAATTTGTATTTTTTTAAAATCCTTTGAACAGTACCATAACTGAAATTAGAGTCCTTGAGAATATCTGCTATTGAATTCTCACGATAAGCTTCAAAATATCCAATAACTGCAATTTCCGTGGCCTCGCTTATATGAATTCTTTTTTTGCCCTTGTTTTAGCAAAAACATTTTCGTTGCCCCTAAATTTTCGATAAAGTCTCAGAAAATATCGTCCATACGGTTGAATGCGAGCGGGATATAATTCACTGTAGTATTCTCTTGCTCTCAAGGAGGATTTTCTGCACACTAAATAGCATTCTAACATATCACACTTTTCTTCATGGGAGAACATTTTTCTTTAAATTAATGACACAATAAAGCTTATAAACAAGTATTTACATTAATGTTTGACATTATTTGATTTTATCATTGTTTTCCAAAGCCTTCTAGTTGCGAGTGTGTCCAGTTTAACAATTTGTCGCTTATCTTAATGCTGTCAAATCGTGAACGCCATGTTGTTTTCATAGCCGTCTTAATATTATAATACTGCAAATAATTAAAAATATTTATCGTTATTTTGACTTTATTTTTGACTTTAGCGGAAAAGTCATTATGAACTTTTTTGTTTAAAATTTGATGCTTTAACAGAAAAAAATATAATATACAGGGGTTTCCATTTAAAAAAATGTTATTTTACTGAAAAAAATCAAAATAACGACTCTCAATTGTCTTTTTTTATTTCTCATTTTTACCAGCGTTAAAAATGCTACTAGTTTGCTAATTTAAACAACTTTGTATTTTTACTAATAACAAAGTTACCAATGGTGGACACTTAATTTGGATAACCCTGTATAGCATTTTCTTGTAACGACAGGCTCTCACCATAATTTAAAAAACTTGAAGTTCATACAAGCAGTGGTCTCAAAGAGATTCAGTCAGCCGATAAAATAAAATACTTAGGCATGATTTTGGACAAACTCTTAAAATGGAATACCTATACACATGTGAAGAGACTGAGTTATACTATTCCAAAATTCAGGTACTTCAGAGATATTCTGGATAAGAAATATCTATATAACCTTTATTATGCTCTTGTTTATCCTCTATTACTTTACGGAATTTTGGCTTGGGGGAGTTATGAATAATAATTACAAAAAGGTTGATGTAATCCAAAAATTAATTCTAAAATTGATCCTCCATAAGGAGATTACTTATTCAGGTGATTCTCTATATGTGGAGGCTCAACTATTAGATTGCAGACAAACTTATTTTTATTGTGGTCTAATACATTATATTAAATATGTATTCCACAAACATCAAAAGCCATTACACAACGATCTCTGTTTTTCATACCACAGTCATTAAAAGTAATTAAATCAAATAGATCATTTAAAAAAGAACTAAAAAATGGATTTAACAACAACCAAGGTGCTCCATCCACGAAATTGTAGATATGAAAAATCATTATCAAAATCAATAATATTTTACTTACACTAACATCCATACTTTTACTTTAGTTATAATTGTCTGGATATTCTTCCTGACATCACCATAATAATTCAATTCACCAAATTATACAGTATTTACGGTTTTTTTATACACTGACTGTACTTTTAGTTTTTATTTTTAACAAAACCAAACACAAGTTCAAACTTTTTTGGGTGCTTTATGTTTATTGTGCACAATATTTAATATTCACCTCTATTTTGTGACAATAAACATATGCGACTTCATATCTGTTACCGTTTCCGAGATCTCACCATTAGCGATTCGAATTTAAAAGACCAGGTATGCACATGTTTAATGAATGTACAAGATCAGCGGTGTTTTTGTTGTTGTATATTGTATGCAAATGATATTCGGCAAGGACATGTCCCCAAAAATCATCACAGAAATACTACTACTACTACTACACATCCACTAAGTCATGTTATAGCCCAGTAGAAATGAACATTAAACATACACGCTAGAACTTACTCAGGAAGTTAAGGTTGGTTTTTAAGCTTAAATAATAAACTGCGCGGGAACGTAAAAGTTATCATTTCCGGGCTGTATCCCCAACCGCAGGATATCAGCTATTAACTGGGAGCACGAAACTTTCAGTTTAAGCCTACTTCTACTGAGCTACCACGGTACATACGCACACGTAGTAAAGAAGTGCTATACTTACCTGTTAAAGCAGTTGGTTATTAATGATGCACCATATATGTCTCGTAAAATACTATAGGCACTGCACCAAAGAAAATAATACCGTTAGCGATAGTTGAAACGATCACTTCAACAGGGTGGTCAGGGCAAATATGTAAATACCATATCATCCATATTTAACTGCGCTCATATAAATTAATTGTACTTTTTCGAATGAGATATTA